CCCCCCCCCCCCCGCCGGGCCCTCCGGCGATTGCAGGCGGCGCACCCGCAGGTACCCCTGGGGAGGGAACGCGGGCGCCTCTCCCCGTCCAGGGGGGCTGCCTCTCTCTTCTTCACCCGTTCCTCCTCCTCCTTCTGCGACAAGACGTCATTGCAAAAGGAGGTGACTGCGGACCAGCCCTGAGCTCCCCCTAGCATGGCCCTAATAAGGGCCGGGGGAGAGAGGTTCGCCCCCACCACTCCGATTAGGACATGGCGCTCTGCCACCCAGGAAGGGACACTCCTCCAGGATTTGCTGCGCTGAGTCCACCTCGGCACCACAGTGGTGGCAGCAAGAGGTGTGTTTTCTTCCTATCCTATGCAGGTACTCACCGAAACACCTATGTCCGGTGAGTACCTGCGTTGTCCGGAAAGATAACTCCCCTTGGACCCTGTCTATCCACTCCTGCAGACAGGGCCGAATGGCCTCGGCGACCCTACATCCCGACTGGCCCGTCGCCTCCTCCAGGTGAATGGCCCACTTGAGGAGGAGGCGTTGACGGGGTCTTGGAGGATCCGATGGCCCTGGTTAGATGTTGGAGGTCTTCCCCACTCCGGAGCTCCTTGACACGCCGATAGTTCTCGGCGTGCATCGCGGCAAGGAGCTCCAACGGGGGGAGACCGGCCAGGGCCGTGGCAGCCATATGCGACGTCGTCCTGTAGGCCCGGGCGAGACGGATGGCGATCCACCGCTTAGCGCAGTGGCCCAGCGCAATAATGCGCTGGTTTGTTACTATCTCGCCCAGATTGGTGACCCATAGAGAATCACTGAGTGGATGACGCCGGCATACAAGATACATAAAATATCCGCTATGATAATACTATCTGAAATGTATCTGAATTATTACTGAAACGTTTAAAAAATATATAGGAAATATTTCAAATACTTCTTTTTATATACAGAAACTATTTGTATTTTTACATTTAGAAACTATTCGTAAATGTCACAGTGTTTGTTGATTTTACTTGAAAATTTTAGATTATTTGATTTCATTATTACATCATATTTAAAAGTTCTCACTGACACTGGTTGTAGGGGAGAGTTTGCGGATTCGAGGTCCAAAGTGACCTCTTTTACCAGAGGGTTGGTGTCGACTGAAGGCCCGAACCCGACTGACTGTTCTCCCGTCGGCGCTCCCCGCACGCCGAAGCGCTAGCGAATTTTGAAAACACGGCGCTCGCGAGCCCCGCGAGCCCTGCCTCCAAACAAAGGTTTTTTTCTCTTTTTTTTTTTTGATACAGTGGGATGACGGCTGTATCCTCCGGCAGCCTGGCGGCCCTAGGTCGATTCTCTGGTCTCTCCGTGCACGCTAATCTCTCGATATTGAGATCACTGAGACCCCAGGTCAGACGCAAGTCCATCTGTGCACACTTGGCTACGAGGCCACGTATTCGCCCAGCGATGTCCTCGCGCCACATGGAAGATCAAGCCCCAATCCCGCGTCAATTCCGATTCCAATGTCAACCTTTTATCCTAGGTTAATGGTTAATAAAAAGTAAAAAGTAGAAAGTGAAAGTAGAAAGTAGAAAGTAAAGTTAGTAGAAAGTAAACTTTCCATCCTCTTATTTAACGAAACAATTATTTGTTTTTATTGATCAAACCGAAGCGAACTTAAACAGAATCTATAACTGCATGTCGCGCCAGGGCGATGCGGCGAGTTTACTCCACAAAACAAACTTGAACAAAAATTCATGATCACACGCCGTGTCAGGGCGGTGCGACGAGTCCGCTATATCTTCCCCCTCGTATAAAATTCAATATTTTATCTATTTATATATATTTGTACCTATTTTTTGTCCAGAAGTTTTATTAATTTCCTAGTTGGTCGTGTAAATGTACCTAATGGCGTTCGTATTCTGGTTACTCGCACTTCGCTATCTCCATCTCGACAATGGTGCCTTTTTCCACGTATTGCGGGGCGCGCTCAAGTCGATGATTAGGACTAAATCGCCGATTGCAAGCGGGCGTTCGCTTTCCAATCATTTTTGTTTCGGTAACAAACTCGGATATTCGCACAAGCAACATTTCTAACATGCATCCGCGAACGCTTGAACTATTCTCCATTGTTTTTTGAGGTTAGTCGTTTGCATCTCGTATACGCGTGCACCTTAAATATACGGATACATGTTTCTCATATTTACATCTTTTTTCAGATTTTCTCTGCATTACAATAGCGGACAACATCAATCTATGGTCAATGCATTGATCATAGTCGCATTGATGATAGTCGTGTCCTCGATTTGGATCCAGATAAAAAACAAATTAAGCAGTCTCCAACAGTATCGATAAAGCGAACTGTTTTATCTACATTGTTTGATAAACATTTACACGTTGAATAAACCAAGACAACATAATGTCTAAAATCGGGACGTAAGACGTCCTAAATATAATCTTTAGGATACATTTATACGTAAATTGTCCGAAAGACATCTTAAAGATGATCTCTAAGATATCTTATGTCCCGATTTTAGACATTATGTTGTCTAGAAAGTTATCTTAGCATCTTTGCTTTCATAGTCCTACAGTTTTTTCCAAAGATAAAAACAGTTCCGTATTCATTCTATCAATAAAAACGATGACAAACGAATGACTTGAAGGTATCCTATTAAGACGTAAAACGCTCGTCAAGAAATTGTCAGTACTTTAACTCCGGATGACGTACTGGCACGTTGCATTAATTTTTCGTCTTATTTCTATTTATTTCATATTTTGTCACAAATCGTCGCTGCCGTAAAAAATCAATGTGCATGTTTTGTGACTTTAAGATACTTGTGTCATTATATGTAGAATAAAATTCTGAATATATATTGATATAAACATCTTAATGTGATAAGAAATTTTACATAGAGGATTTTTTCTCGGCAGCGACGATATATCATAATTGTGCTCACGACTCAGACCCACGCCGAGAAAGCCAAATTATCCTCGGGTTCGCGTAAACGCAGTGAGTCAAA